TGATATTCTGCTCCTCGATTCGTCTTCTGTGTTAGCTTTTTATCCTTGTAATTTCTGTTAATTTTCGCTCTCGCTGTTGGTCGAATAATGTGTGAGAATTGCTTTTTACGTTTGTATGTGAGAAATTTTAACGCGGCTGGGCTTAAGAATGAAATAGATTTCAGTAACATTGAGCAAAAAGTCAGATACTAAATCACAGATTTTTCGCGCGTGAGAATTTTGCGAGAAATTTAAAAAAAACTTTTTTTTAAAAAAAAAACAACAAATTTTAGCGATGAGTTTTATCGCGATATGCATCGAATGGTCGACCGATCACCAACCAAGCTGCTTCAGAGTGTTCGCTTATTTTATGTGCGAGATGGACAACGTACAGCTGTAGATATTCTCAACAACGTGGTGCATTTTTCAATCCCTTATTGTGAAGTCGTACTCTTATAAAATAACTTATTCTTATAAAATTATCTGACATAATATAAAATAACGTAACATAGAGTAAAAAAAAAGATAAGTGTAAAATAACTAATTAAAATTAGATTTGACCAATTACCATAATCGTTGTACTGACGAGGTCCAACTGTGGTAATGGTAAGAAATGTATACGACTTAGTGGACCAAAACATTTCTTACCATTATATTTTTATTAAAATATTTTACTACTTATACTAATTTCTTAATATTATTCGCTTTTGTCTTCTTCCAACTTTAAAACATTTTCCTGTTACTTATTTCTGTACTTTATCTTATCTCCTATTTCTTCTCGTTTTCGTTACAGAATTTGGCAGTTTCTACGGTTTTTTTTTATATTGTTATTTAAGGGGAATCAACTTCTAAGTGTTTAGAATTAAAATTTTCCTCGACAAGCTTGTTTTTGATCAAAAATTTGCATCGACTTTCCTGTGTTCAGTTTATGAACTTTTTGGCTTAATTTTAGATGAATTTGCAAACCACCAGCAGTCAGTTTTGTGGTTTATTAGCGGAATTGGGAGAAGGTGTTGAGGTGGCAACGCATCCCTACTGGACCGGCGATTGGAGGACTGCATTTTCTGCTGAACGAAGTTTGTATTTGCTGAGATTCTACGTTTTTTGTTTGTTTTCTCCTATTGCAGAACCATTTGAGATTTATGATTATTTTGCAAAGAAGCCGAAAAATTTCATGGCCGCTAAATTACGGAGCAAATTATAATACATTTTTTGATGTTAATTGCTGTTACTGTGGACCAGGGAGTTAGAACCGTTATCGGCTTTTTTTTAAAGCGATCCTTAGATGGAGAAATCATCGGCAATCATGCTAGCGATGATACATTTGGCAAAATTACATCACTCATCCATCTACGGAATACTTTCGGAAAGAATAAATCACCAAAATGATTTTTACTTTTTTTGGTTTTAATGAATAAATATGTGGGAATTCTTAGAAATCTGATGGCTGGATGAAAAAGTTCCGTTCTCACCTCACAAGGCTTTCAGGATGTCCAATTACTAAACCAGTAGGGCGAGTGTTCCATGAACAGATGAAGGGAAATAGAGAGGCCATAGAAGGCTGAACCAAAGTGGTTTTTTACGGCTCTTGGTGGGCCAAAAGTACACCTTCTGAAATAACGGCCCGTACAAACCAAAGAAAATTAAGAACGGCTGAATTCCTTAAGTTTTGTGGGTGAAAGGTTGGAATTTGCTAGTGAATTGTGATGGGAAAGATAGTTGGGTTACTAATGTGGTGCACACCTTAAGACATTTTGAGCAGTTATGTACATCGAATATGTAGGTTGGCCTGTCTATGTTTCATTCCTAGGGAGTTTGATAAACCATCTGCTAAATTTAGTGCCACGTGAAATGGAAGAGAATTTGGATCACTACATCATCGATGGTTTTACGCACTGTTTGTGGTGGGCCGATTCGCATATCGAAGTAGCATTCACCACTCCAACAGAACGCATCAGGAAGCATCCATCTTTGTCTTGTGACTGTGACCCGGCTCTTGGTGCCCTCTCTGACGAACAAAACGAGCCGGATCGGACGTTGAATCGAGATTTTGGTACAGTTATTTGCCTTGACGTTTCGAGTAGCTCCGGTTTTTTTGCTATGTTTTTATGGATGAAGTTAGCAACTTTTCAATTTTTATGTATTTCGAGCTTACCGCATTAGTTTAATACCAGGTAGGCATCCATGTCGGTCACTCATTCTTATTGATGCCCATCCCTTTGTTCGTTTAACATCTTGTAGGTATTATTCAGTTTTATCTTTCTTTTTCTTACTTTCGCCACAAAACCATCCCAACTGCTGTTTCTGTCGCTCAGTGCCTCAGCATCGTCCTTGTTCTGAAATTAATTACTGCCAGCTGTAGTGTTCCATAATTATAAAAATTTTCATACAAAATTATTATTCGGCACAAAAGCTGTCATTTTTGAAATTGTCTTGCGCCCGCGAGTAATCCGAGTAAGTTAATTTGTTAAGTGTAAGATGGATAAATCGTGACTTTATTTTCAGGTGGCCGAGCTTTGAGCTTATCGTCCAGCGAAGACCGATCAGCTGGACGAGCCAGTGGAAGTAGTGGACAGTCGAACAAAGTTATGTCGGAGATTCTTCCAGCACCCCATGCAAAGAGTCACTCTGGCCTGGATTCGGGCAGTGAAACGAAAGGTATTATATATGTTTTTTTAAGACAACGTATAACCTTCCGCTGAATGAGCGCTGAATAAGAATCGCTTTTGGGATTTAGCTTACTCGTTTGATTAGTATGGCAAACTAGCTTTGTTTTCCGATTTCCAGCACTCTACAGGAAAAGTATTGTTGCGCTTTCTCGGCACTCCTGATTTTAAAATTTAAGTGATTTTACATCAGCTAAAGACAAAACAGCTTTAGAATGAAGGCCATAACTTTGCGCCCCGTGCTAAGTAGATTGCAGCTTCCAGGTCAACTCTGGACGCGCAGATTATAGGATGGGCAAGTGCTGGAGAAAATAGTGAAGGTTGGTGGTGAGAGTGAGATAGGACGTTTCGGTCCATTAATTCATATACGTCTTAACTCCACACTGCGACTGGACCTTGTCAGTATGACGGTCGCAGTGTGGAGCCCAAAACCAGTTGGGTTAACTCTGTCGAAGCCCTAAACCAGTTGGAAGAGAATTCTGGACATTGTTTCGAAATAAGCCGATTGTAGCATCCAGTTTGACTATAGGAAACCTAAAGTAAGCAGATTGTGGCATCCTGAAATAAATTTCTAACTTTTCAGTATCGTCAAGTGGTATTTAAGCAGCTTTTCATCGCTTGTTTGTTGGCGGTAATCATCGAAAATGGCGGCCACGCGCACTTAATCCTAATTACAATACTAATGTCAAATCGTGAACCGATTTCCTTGATAATTTTAGTAGCTTATGTATTGAACTGCTGTTTTCCAGGAAGTGGCCAGAATTTTGTAAAGCGAAGCTCTGACCAACGTGTATTTGTTGTTTGGTTGGAAAGAACTGAGGACATGCACTATTTTCCATGCGGTATGTTACAGTGATTTCTCAGGCTTTTTCACTTCTCTGTACTTATGAATACACATTCTTTGTAGACTTTGGTTTTTTGTTGATTTCTGCCCAGCCATGATAACTTGTAATAGCTATCTGTCGGCTACGATTTGTGTGCCATCGATTTAGGCCATGACTGGGGCCATAACAGTAATTTATTTCTAATTTAATGATCCAGAAACGTGCTGTTTTTGACAAGTGGTCGTAAACAGCTGCTGGATCTATCTGTCGGATTCTTTTTTTAAACTCTTAAAAATGCAGGATCACTTATCATAAAATGAGTAAGATGTCGCCGAAAACCTGCGATAAATCGGCAAAGAAAAACAAAGGCAAAAAAAAAAAAACGAAGGAAAAGACGCACACTGCTTACGAGAAGTAGCAAAAAAGAAAGGTGCATTCTGTTTGGCTATTCCTAGGAAGCAGAGACTGGTGGTGTAGTGGGTAACAC